CGTTGTAAAGATAGATAACTTTGAAAGATCAACACAACAACTAACCACAATTTCAGAGGACTCATGATGAAACATGTTACTTATCTCTTGACAAACAGATGATGAACTCAGAGTGTAGACTGAGACATTTATTTTTGGAAACATAGCCAACGTGGTAATTTGTTTTATCCATTATTATTGTTTTATTTATTTACAATAAATTTGAATAATTGTAAGAGATCTCTTTTTCTTTCTTTTTCAGGGTGGGAGAAGGGAAGGTAGAGTGAGTGAGAGGGAGAAAAAATAGATCTGTAATTAAGAAAGAAATTACATTTAAAAGATAAAAAATTTTAAAATATATTTAAAAATTGAAATATACAGAGAAAGAGTCAAGGAGGTGAGAGGTATTCTTTTAGCCTTGTTGCTTTTGACTTTTATCCTGGAAAATTTTAATCCCTTTCCATATTTTTGTATTTAAAATCTATTAATGTGGTTTTTTTGCTTGTTTAAAGGGATTCTCCATAGTGGATTCAGTACCTTTTCCTACTCCAATAATTTGTCTTTTAAATATTCTGTATTGAGAGCTTTTATTACTGATACAACAATTATTCTTAATTTCTTCTTTTCTGAATTTTATTTCCCTTTTGAACCATTCTGGAGTTTCTTGTTCTTTTTGCAGAATCTAGCTCATTTTACATGTGAGGAAACTGAGGTAAACAAGGTTAAGTGACTTGCACAGGGTCACACAGCTAGTAAGTGTCTGAGATCAGATTTGAAATCAGGAAGATAAGTCTTCCTGATTCCAAGCCCAGTGCTCTATCCACTGCACTACCTAGCTGTTCCTAAGTTTGGCTTATTGGTTGCAAAAGAATAATCATACAAATCCTGGATGTTTGCCTGGATGCCTACCAGAGATATCCCTTCCCCCAAGGACAAAAGGGGATGTGCACATATCCAGTAGTTGGTCCAGTTAAAAGCACAGCTGGCATGTTGGATCAGATGCATGAAAGTGTTGGGCTCGCTTGTTCTCTCTCTGAGTCCGTAGACTTTGACAATTTAAGAAACTCAATCTGCAGGTTGATCAGGGGTTGCATCCTTTTGGGGCAGGCTTCACAGGGGAGTGATGCAACCAGGTCCTCCACTTGGCAACCTTGGTGTCACAGAATCTGGAAAAGCTTCTACCTAACGGTCTACGCACACCAAAACATCTCTTCATCCATAGACTTCAGCAGTTCAATAAAGTCAATCTGCAGGTATTCAAAGGGCCACTCTCTTCCTTCCCCCTTTTTGTCACAGTTTTCTTCCTTGAGGAGTTAAAGTGTCGACAAGAAAGGCAGCTAGAGAACACATGATGGGCCTCTGCATAAACTCCATAGGCAAACCATGACCAGCAAACCTGCAGTACAAGGATCTTAGCTCCCATATTAGCATCAGTCCAAGCAGAAATGATAAGCAGTTTGCACAATAGGCAACAGCTCCACAACACACATAGAACTAATAAAACAAGCAAAATTGCAACCAGGTGAATAAAGAAACCCAATAAAGCTGCAGCCTTAGGAGTTTCAAGTACTTTGGCAGTGTCTACGACCTTCAGGAGTCTAGTAAGTATCTTTTGGGCATCTCTTAAACAGCTGTGCATAGTTCAGGGCAGGTTTGTGGAAGTATTTCCTTGACCGTCTCTAGGTTTCAGGTCACTTGTGGAGATTCTCTAGATAATGCTAGTGAAAAGACTTAGTATAATTTAATAGCATGTGATAAAATCTAATCATATTGGCCTGCCAGTAATTAGCTCATGTGGTAAAAACCTGTTCAGACCTTATGGACCCAATTCTACTACAATAGAGCTATAAGAACACCATTTTAGGAACATATAATTCACCTAAAATTTCAGAGAACTTCAGTTTTTACACAGCACTTTCTCTTTTTATCTTTACCCTGTATCTGATATGGACAACATCATCCACAGGCTGAAAGAAGGCCTGATGTGTAAAATGAGCCCTCCTGTCCCTTCATATTATGAAGCAGAGGGAGGAGAAAGTGAGGCTGGTGGCCTTGCACAGCCTTCCCTCACTCAAATCAAAGTCAATTGCAAGTCATGTCATCATCTCCCTGATGTCATGGTCCTCTTTGAGAATGAAGGACAAACAGCCTGTGAGTAGTCTGAGCTGCCTGAATAGGGACCCAGCTGGCCAGTTCCAGTTGGGTAACTCAGCTCATTGTCTCCCTTTCCCTCTGCCTCTTCCTCTCTCTCTCCTTCTTCATCTCCTGGATTTACTGGCTAGATTTCTTTCTCAAAGACCAAGCCTTAAACCCAATTCACTCTGGAGCTCATAGATTGGACAACAATAGGTCCCTGCCCAAGCAGCACTTCATGATTATTTTTTGGGCCCTCCTGCCTCAGAGTGAATATAAATAGTAACTGTTTCTCTTTTGGCCAGCGAACCTGAGGGTCTTCCCCTCCCTGTTTGATTGTTTATTTATTTATTTATCATTTCATTTATTTATTTAAGGGACCATCCCTTGACTCACTTCCTAAAGAGGCCTATTCACTGAATGGGCATTACTTCACTCAAAGTGAGAACCTGAAAAGACCTTGGCTTAAAAGGGCCAGGGTCTCCCATTGCATCCTGGGCCATATCTAGTCATTCTGATGAATATCTGGCCACTGGACCCAGATAGCTCTGGAGGAGAAAGTGAAGCTGGTGACCTTGCACAGCCCTCCCTCTCTCAAATCAAAGTCAATTGCAAGTCATGTCATCGTCTCCCTGATGTCATGGTCCTCTTCAAGAATGAAAGACAAACGCAACAACCAACAAAACAATCAAACAGAAAATTCCAAATAAGGGTAAAAGATTAATTTAAAATCTCTTTACAATTGTTAATGCAATTTTATGTGTAAAATTCTTAATCCAGTTTTAGAACTTATTACCAGAACATGTGCAAAGCCAATATTTCCATTAGAAACATTTTAAAGCCAATTGTGTGTGTATCTCCTAGTCCTTAAATTTCTAACAGTTTGATATTGTTGCCTTTCCAAAGTTTAGTACTCCAGTAAATTTATAAACACTTTTATACCTTTATCCTATCCTTCATTTTGAGGACACACACACACACACACACACATGTCTCTGTGTGTGTGTGTATAATTTCCCATAACATCCTGAAAGAACAAGATACTCAAGAGCCTAATCTTATACACAAATATATAACTATTAGTAAGGGGATGGCAAGCCTAAGAACTCATTTACTTAGTTGCTCAGGATATGGAGGTAGCCACAAATTCAGATTGAAAATGATAGGACCTTTTATACTTGCATCCTATTATAGTAACTCAGGTGTTTTTAGTATTAATATATTAATTAATATATTTAGTATTGCAATGACAAAACTTCTACTCTTTACCTGCCCTGATAATATAAATTTGCTATGGAAAGAAAAGGGAAGGTCATGGTTATGACTATATCAAGACTGTCCCTTTAAGGGACTGATCTGACTGATCTGACATAAGTCTTAACAGGGGGAAAACTCCTTTATTTCTATTTGTTTCCAGGTAAAAGTCATAGTTGCTAGTGAATCATACACTAAAGCCCCACATTATTCACAGGATATCAAAGCCAGGCTCAGAATTAACCAGGTGGGAAAATTTTCCATTCACAAAGAAAATAATACAGTGGAGGAACTGGTTTACGAGGATCCTACCTTTGCCTATGCAAGGTCATCCTTTCAATTTTCTTATGCATAGACATTCACCTGTAGCAGTTCTCAGACTTCATTCCATTTGACTAGTACATAGCATTCTTCTTGAATGGTGTACTTAATGACAATTAATTGATGGGCTTAATGGTGGAATTAATGGCTTAATGACAATTCAGACAATCACACCAGAAATCAAAACTCAAAATGATATCAAATTATAGTCCGAAAAGATTTTGCTTCAAGTAACAAAATTTCACTAAGGGCAGCTTAGGGCTAGTATATTATCTTCTTCATGTTGTAATTTAACAATGATTACACCGAAGGACATTTAATTTACCCTTTATTTATAGATTAAGGATAATAACACTCCAGAGTTTCACACATACTCCAAATATGTCTCAGTTGACTCAAAACCCCAGAAAAATGCAGATTACAGTAAGCCTCCAATCTGTGTTACCTCTTTACCCCTCATGTAAAATGAAGTCGTTGAATCTAATCTATTGTTACTAAGTTGGTTCAAAGATGTAACTTCAATACATACTATCCATTAATAGAGACAGTTTCATAATTTTCATAATTTGGTCAAATAATTTCAAATGAAACTCTCTCTTTACTATAAATAAACTTCTAAGTCCCCCTACTTGAACTTGAAGTGGTCCTGGTATCTCAGACTTCATTATTTTAGCATTTTACAACATTTTGTCAGCAAGGCTGAGAGGATTTTATGACCCTACCTGAATAGAAAGTCTTAAAAACTTCACAGATAAGGACAACTTAACAGGCTTTTGCTACTTCTCCCCTCCCTCCCCAAACAACAAGTTAGTATTATTATACCCAAACTATATTATATAAGGTAAAATATACCCAATGAAATATTTAACAGCTTTCAAACATTGTGACCACATTCTTTGATAGCTCAATTCATAAGGTAACAGTAACCAGATGAAAAAGGAAGTAGCTTTCCTAATGATAGGATTGCAACACTTTCTGGGTATCATCACTATATCTCACACAATGGTTTCCCAAATTCCAAAATACAAGAAAAATTAGAAGCCCAACAATGACATGAACAATATCATGGATTTTAAAAATGTAACACAAAACTTTTTCCCCCAGTTAAATAATATCAATTCTTCTAAATGAAGTTCAAATCTTTACAAATAGAAAATTGCCATCTATCGATTTGTCATTCCATATCAATCCTATTCAAAACACAGCAGAGTACTTATATTTAATAAAATAATAAATAGCTAACATTTATATAGAATACCATGTGCCAGCAACTGTGTTAAGTACTTTACAATTATTATATCATTTGATCCTCACAACAACCCTAAGAAGTGGGTGCTATTATTATCCCATTTTACAGATGAGGAAAAGGAGGCAAACAGAGGTGAAGCGACCTGCTTAAGGTAAGACAGCTAATAGGTTTCTGAGACTGGATTTGAAATAGGTTCACCTGATCCATGTATTTTCCAATATATTGCCTTAATATCAAATGTGTTTTCCACTAAGTTCAAATTTATTACAACAATCCTAATAGAACATGTCCCAATGTAAATGAGACCACAATATAATTTAGTTTCAGAACAAACTTCAACCAAATAAGTATGGATTTACACTTACAAAGAGTAACATTCAAAATCTCAATTTTCCCAAGGGTCATATGCTCAAATTTTAGAGCCCACTGCTTTCAATTAGCTCATTTTCAAAAGACATTTGGTGGCAGTCTGACATTCCCACCCCACTCTTTTGGAACTCATGGGACTGTAAGGATTAGGATATAACCTTCAAATGGTCCTTCAAGGATAGAGTTTTTGTATGCTATACTGAAATAATTTCATGCTACAAATTTGTTTCTATGTTTTCCATTTGATGAATGTTATAGCTTGATAGAATGTTGTCTAAAAATTGCTAACAGGCATTTCCCTAATTCACAATTCTACAAACCAGGAAAAAGATTTCTGTCCTTTTCTTGTCTGTCTTTATCTCTGTAATCTCTAGCCTGGCCTAGATTGTGAAGGCAGAAAGAAAGAATCACACAGTTTTCCTGAGGACCTCAGCAGCCAAGTTCAAGGACAAGAGTTCAGAGGGAAAGGCTATTCAAAAGAACATCACTAAATTTACTATAAAATCCTCAGCATCCTTCCACCTGCACCTTGAAGTCCAGTAAAGGTGGAGACACAGACAGACACAGAGACAGAAGTGGAGGGCTCCCGTCCAGCACAGCTCTAATTACACGGAGTCCATGTTCAATCAGAATCTGAGACATTTCTCAGGGTGATTTGATCTTCAAGAAGTCAAGAGACCAGTCATCCAGGGCCTCCCACTGAACTAGACTAGGTTATGCCACTGGGACAATCAAGGGCAAGCTAGCCAGGTTCCTCAGACCCCACTGTCCTGCAGGCCTGAATGTCTATGACACCATTGGACTAGATTCTCCCCTTGCTCTGCTGTCTCATTGCTGACTCTTCATCACTCAGGTCCAGCTCCTCTAAGTCACTCCTCACATCATTCTTTGCCTGAAAACCAGAGGGACAATCAATCAGTAAACATCTATTAAGCCCCTACTATGCACCCATCACTATGTAAATCAATGGAGAAACCAAGACAAAAATACAGGGCCTTGCCCTCAAGGAATTTCCATTCTATCAGGAGAACCAGCATGCCCTTATAAAATTATATGCAGAATATATGCAAAATAAATAAACAGGTAAATTTTGAGATGAGTGGCAGTAGAAATTGGAGGTGGGGAGGAAATTAGGAAATGTTTAATTTAGGTAATGCTTGAGTTGAGTCTTAGAGGAAATAAGGAATTCTAAGAAGTGGAAGTGGGGATTACATTTCAGGCATGGGGGAACAGCATGTGCATAGATGCAGAGATGGAGATCGATACTGAGTGAGGGACAGCAGGAAGGCTGGTTTGGCCAGACAGCATTGTGGATGAAACAATGGGAGCAATGTATAGTGAGGCTGGAAATGTAGACTGGGGCTGAGTGGTACAAACTTTTAATGACAAACACAGTCTATACTTTCTTTTGGTGTTAATAGGGAGCTAGGGATGGACACTGTTATCTTTCCATTGATCCTGCCTGCTGTTTCACCCTCTGGACCTTGTATTTGTCCTGGCACTGTATGGGCCCTCGAGACCCCTTTACCTTATTTCCAGCTTTGAAACATGCATCAATATTCCATTGTTCCAGGAAAGGGCATGTTCATCGATTGTGACTCCATTCACAATCTCAACAGCTTCCCAAATGAGATAATGTTTATAAAGTGCTGTGCAAACCTGAAATCACTACATAAATGCTTGCTATTATTCTCAAAACAAAACAAACCTCTCTAGCTACCACTGCCCTCTATGTGTTGCCTCCCCTTTCTTAAGGGTACAGTCTCAATTTTTTATTGGTATCTCTGGAGCTTAGTACAATGTTTAGGCTTTTAATGAGTGGTTTTTTTTTTATTCATTCATTCACTGGGGAGGAGAGTTTACTCTTTATTCAGTGAATGAATTTATCACCAAATCTGGGCCCTGGTGACTATTACCAATCAGCAACCAGATGATTCTTCTTTCTTCAACCCTGAATAAGTTCAGTGTCTACTCACCCTGAACCCACCACCAAACTCTTACCTTCATACTAGGGGACTTTGATATATCTGCTGAGACTCTCTTAAATAGCCTAACTTTCCAACTCAATTTCCAACTCCTCTCCACCTAAGTCATACATAGAAATAAATGGTCATCCCCTTGAGCTTGCCATCATCCAGAAATATTCCACTTCTGTGTCCACAAATTTTGAGATTCACTTATCCAATCGTCTTTTATTATTCTATCTTTCCCTCTGCTTTACAATGCTCAAATGTTCTTCTTCACTGTGACCTCCAATTTCCCTCACCCTCAGTTCCTTATCAGGTTATCACCCTTGCACTGGCCACACTCTCCTTTTTCTATTTTGACCCCTTGGTAAATCAGTCCAGCTGGATGGTATCCTCTCCATTTGAATCCCTTGCCTCCTTGTCCTATTAGCTATCATACTTTACACAACCTTAGCCTTGGATTACTCCCACCATCCATCTCCTTTGTTCCTATTCACATGCTACTGAATGGAGATTGAGAAAATCACAAGATCATAATAATTGAGATTTCCTGCAAATGTGTTATACATCCTCAACTGAGGACTCACTGAAGAAGAGAATCTTTTTATACTTTCCTAACTGATATGCTAGAACCCTCACTATGATGGAAATTTAAAACCTTTTCATCCCTCCTCAAGACTCCCACAGCATTCTTCCCTTTACTCTGTCAGCTGAGGACCTCACCTCCTTCTTCATTGAAACAAGTGAAGTCATGCAATGAGAACTCTCTCCTCTCCCCTCTTTCTCTTCTCATATCACTCAGGCATCTTCTCCCATCATCTCCTCCTTCAACATTCTCTCACATAAAAATGGTGGCCCTTCTCCCTGCCAAGGCAAATCCCTTGATATGCACCCTTGATCCCATCTCTTCCTATCTTCTTTGGCATACTGTCCTCTCTACCATCTCCTTTCTCCCTGGCCTAACCTGTGCTTTGGGAAAACCACTTTTCAGCTGTGTGAAGGATGAATTAGATCATTTAGGTGAAAGGTGAAGAGGACCTGCACTAAGATGATGGGTGTGCTAGTTGAGAAGAAGCACTTAGAAGGGTGAGATATTGTAGAGGTAGAAGTGACAAGATTCAGCACCTGATTGAATGTGTAGGGTGAAATAGAGTAGAAAAGAAGGATGGAAAGATATGGGGTGAAAGAAATGAGAAAGAGAGCGTGAGGAGGAGGGAAGGAAAGTAGAGGAAGGAGAGAAAGAGAGAGGGGGAAGAGAGAGGACAGGGGGGAGAGAGAGAGGAGAGAGAGAGAGAGAGAGAGAGAGAGAGAGAGAGAGAGAGAGAGAGAGAGAGAGAGAGAGAAGAGAGAGAGAGAGAGAGAGAGAGAGAGATTGGGAAAGACAAAAATCAAGGACAAGGACAAGGGGTAAGATATGTTATTGGCACTGCTTGGGTGCCTATTGGCACTAGGTTGCCTGCCTTGAGTCCCCATGCTCTTCTACCTCTAGTACTTTTTCCCTTTCCCCCCATTCTCCCCTGCTGATGGTCATGGATTGGGGGGATGGTCCATGGTCCAGGGCCGGTTTTGTACTTACCTGGCCTTCTGATAAAAACCTGTAGAACATTTTGAGGATGAGGAAAGACCAGTAGACATTGAGACCCTGCAGGGCCATCAGAAGGGTAGTTGCAAAATAGTATCCAAAGAAGAACTTAGACTTCTTCTGGGCAACATAGTAGGTGGTATAGAGGACTCTGCAAGAGAAAGAGAGAGAGAGAGAGAGAGAGAGAGAGAGAGAGAGAGAGAGAGAGAAATTGAGGGTCACAATGTGGGAAGGGGAAGAAGTGGGCTGCCAGAGCTTAAACCCCTTGGTCATCAGAAATATCCCCACCCAACCCCAAAGAGATGGGAGGGGCAGAATGAAAAACCCCTGGGGGACGAATATCCTAAAAGGACCCCTAGATGCCCCTGGTCTGACTTTATCCCATCTTTCTCATACACAGAAGGATTTTTCAGGCAGGAGATTCACTCCTCTTTCTCAGCAGCAGAAGGTCCCCAGGACTCAGACCTTTTCCCCCCTTCCTGCCCTTCTCCCACTCCACCTCTTAGGCCCAGGCTCACTTTTTTGGGAAGAGAATGAGTCTGGTAACCAAGAACACCAGGGTAAAGAAGATGAATATGTCATCCCGAGCTTGCTTCCACTGTGCATAACTTAGCATCTTATAAGCCTGGGAAGAGACAACAGAGGGAATTTTAGTAACACATAAACCCCGAGTTGGGAGAGGCCTCAGAGGATACCTAGTGCAACCCATAGTTGTTCAAGAGTCCCCCTAGATAAGTAATCGTTTCACCTGGAGGCCTACAATGATGGGGAACTCATATCATACATTCTACTTTCAGAGAGCTTTGTGCCTTAGGAAGCTTTTTCTTTTTTTTTTGGCTAGGCAATGGGGTTAAGTGACTTGCCCAGGGTCACACAGCTAGTCAATATTATGTGTCTGAGGCCAGATTTGAACTCCAGTCCTCCTGAATGCAGGGCTGGTACTCTATCCACTGTGCCACCTAGCTGCCCCTGGAAGCTTTTTCTTATATGCAGCCTAAAGATTCCCCTTGGAGGGTGGGCTTTCAGGGCCTTGACCAGTGAGAAAAAGCCTACTTCATTTTTAAAAATTTTGGATAGGCCAGAACTAGTCACAGAATAAATAGACATGCATGGTTTGTGACATTCATTGTAGATCTTGTCCCCCTCAAATCTTCCGCTTCCCAGGTTTTCTCCATTTCTTTTGAAGGCACCACATCACTTGTCACTCAGATTTGAAACCTCACTGTCATTCTTGACTCTTCCCTTTTGTCACACCCCCACCCAACACACACATATCCAAGCAGTTGCCACAACATCTCTCAACTACACCCTCTTATCTCTAGTTAACGCTGCTAACAGAATTAGGTTTAGCTCCTCTTGCCTGGATCACTGTAAGCCCCCTCTTCATTGGACTCCCTGCCTCAAGTCTCTCCCCACTCCATTCCCTTCTCCACTGAACTGCAAAAGTAATCTCCCTAACGTACAGGTCTGACCATATCACTACCTTATCAAAAACTCTAATGGCTCCCTGCCACTTCTGGGATCAAATATAAATCCATGTGTGCTGCATTCAAAGCCCTTCATGACTTAGCCCCAACCTACTTTTCAACTCTTATTTCTCACATTCCTGCATTCTGCTCTCTAACCAAGCTGGTCTATTTCCTGTTCCTCAGACGCATACAAAAACACTATTGAAATATAGAAACAATAATAGCTCAAACATATTTAACATGGAACAAATATCATTTCATTTTATCTTCACAACCACCCTGGGAAGAAGGTGCTATTTTTATCCCTATTTTACATATGAAGAAGCTGAGGCAAAGAGAGGTTAAGTGACTTGCCCAGAGTCACACAATTAGAAGCTTCTGAGGATTTGAACTCGGATCTTTCCGACTCCAGATTGAGTAAACTAGCTAGTGGTCCACCTAATTTAACAAAGGAAGCCATCATAAATAAAGAGGAATAGATACATGCTGAGTACTCTTTGTAGTGTTGAAATCACAGACAATTCACTTTTGCTTGTTATTTTTGCATCAAAATGGCTTTATTCCCTGACAGTCATGACTTATTGTTGTATTTTGGATATCTTGGTAAAGCATTATCTTTTTTTTTTTAAAGGAATTACACCTGCTTGACTAGCTATATTGATCTAAGTAACTGATTAATAACTAATTAATGTATATTATATATCATATATTAATATATAATAACTAATTAATAACTAAGTAACAAGGACAGGGCCTAGATCTGTGATTTCATTGGCCTAGAAAACTCTGGGATGAAGAAATTCCCCTGCCCCACCATCCACTTGGGTTGGCACCTTTGCCGAGGGCAGTGGTGTCAAACTCAAAGAAGACAACAGGAGTCACTAAACCTGACATCAGGATTTCTCAGCTGCATATTGAATTAGAAAACCACATATTAACATTGTCTATGTTCTATTGTATTTTTAGTTACTTTGTTAAATATTTCTCAGTCACATTTGATCTGGTTCTCACTGCACTTTGGAGTGTTGCTGGCTGCTGCCTCTGGTTCAGTACACTGAAAGATTCAGAGATTTGTCCAGGGTTACAGAGCCAGTATGTGTCAGAGGTGAGACCTGAACCCAGGCCCACCTGGATTTCAGTTCAGCTTTTTTTTTTTACTAACCAACAAGGCATACATACGATTAAAAAATAATGAATCATATTAAATCACATTGTTCTCATAAAGTTTTTGGTGTATTGATAATTTTAAAAATTTTATTTGTTTTATTTTTCTCTTCCTTTTGAAATTTATATTTGTGTTTTATTATGCATTAATATGAGTAAAAGGGAAATGCCAATAATTTATAAATAAAGGCACACGTGGAAGAGATGGGAGCTCAGAAAATGTTTTACCCAAAAGGATGTGAACTCACAAGAGATTGGTGACTTCTGTGCTCGATGTTCTCAAGTTTGTCAGTTCCTAAAATTCCTGCCCAACTACTGACAGTTCTCTGTGGAAAAGTATCTTTCTTCCTTCAAGGGGAAGGGGGCAGCATTAGCAGTTTGGAGCTAGGAACAGCTTTCTACACAAGGTGATGCTTGAAATGAGTTTTGAAGGAAGCCACGGATTCTACAAGGCAGAGGTGAGGAGGGATGGTACATTCCAGGTCAGAGAGACAGGGCAAAAGTGAAGAGGCAGGAGATGAGTATTGTGTGTGAGGAACTATAAGTAAGCCAGCATGTCTAGACCTTACAGTTCATGATGGGGAATACAGCTTAATTAAACTGGAAAGACAGGAAAAGGTCAAGTTCTGAAGATCTCTAAATACCAAATAAAGGTTGTTTTATTTGATCCTAGAGGTACTAGGGAGCCACTGGAGTTTGCTGAGTAGGGAGAGGGGGTGACATGGCCAAAATTATACTTTACCACTCACCTTGACAGTTTCGTGGAGGATGAATTGGAGTGGGGAGAGATGAGTCAGGGGGACCAGTTATAAGACTATTGCAGTAATCTAAGTGATTAGTGATGAGGATAGCAGCTGTGTGAGAGAAAGGGAGGTATGTGTGAAAGATACAGTGGAGATAATGAGTGGAGTGAGGCTGAGGAATCAAGAATTTCAACCAATCAATAATATTTATTAAGTGCCGACTTTGTGCCAGGCACTCTGCTAAATGCTGGGGATACAAACAGAAGCCAAGGAAGTTCCTCAAGGAGCTTACAATGTAATGGGAGAGACAACATGTCAACATACCATCATACCAACATACCAATATGCCAACAAACATACAAAGCAAGCTATGTACAGGGTACATAGGAAATTCAAGATTCTGAGCCTAGGTGACTGGGATGCCCCAGGCAATAAAAGGTAAGTTGGAAGAGAGGAGATTTTGGAGGAAACATAATTGACTTCTACTTTAAAAATGTTCAGTTGATATTTGAATTTGATGTTCAATTCAAAATGTCCAATAGGCAGTTAATGACTTAGGACTGAACCTCAGAAGAGACCCTAAGGCTGGGTGTATAGCTTCCAGAAGTTTCCCCCAACAGAGATATTCATTGAATCTATGGGAGCTGATGAAATCTCTAAGTGTGAAAGTACAGAGAAGATTACAGAAAAGAGCCCAGGATAGAGCCTGGGGGCATACCCACAGTGAATGAGTATGACATAGAGGAATGGTCAGCCAAATAGAAGGAAAGTCAAGAGAGCAGAATTACACAAATCCAGAGGGAAGAGGATATTCGGGAGAACTGAACACAGTATTCTAGATACTGTCTGACCAAGACAACCCATAGCAAGACTGTATTTTCCATATACTCACATGGCTACTTATTGTCTTCCCTGATAGAAAGTAAACTCCTCGAAGGTAGAAGTGTTTCTCTTTTGTCTTTGTATTCCTCATTCCTTGCACAGCCCCTGGCATTTAAGGCACTTAATAGATGTCTGTTGATTGATGGATGGATGTATGGATAACTGTTACCTCCCCTGTTTCGGTCACTGTCTCTTTTTGAATGCAGACCAAATTGCATTAACTTCTGTGGTGGCCAGTGTCATCTCCTGAACCCCCACTGAACTTTCTATCTGACTAACCCTGCAGGGCTTTTCCAAAGAAAACATTGTCCAGACACACCTCACTGTCTTGTGCTTGCAAAACTGATTTCCCCACTTGCATTTACAACCCTTTGCTCTGTGTATTCTGTGCCCTGGAGCTGGATCTTTTGGGACCCTGGTGGACCTCCAGTCTTCCAGGTTCTAGGCTCCCTCACTTTCTGCCATGAGCACATTAGCAAAGCCATCACTGATTCATTTAGCCAAATTTATTCAGTCACTCTGTGGTCTGGCTAGATCTACAGAATTATGTCCACCCTTACCCAACTTTCCTCCTCTTTCAGTTCTACCCCCTGCCCAGACTTATATATCTTCCTCTTTAACCCTGCCTCACCCATGACTCCTGCTAAGTCCTGATTATAGAGGGAAGAACTGGAGGATGCTGGGCTGCAACAGGTCTTAAAACACGGAGGCCCCCACAAGAAGGCTAAGCAGGCACCCTGACGACTGCACTGCTGCATGAACCCCCACTGGTGTTTGACAATTATTTTGGCCTTTTAGGGAGGGGTATAGACTATTGTAGAATGATACAACAACTGATTAGTGCTCATGACTGAGGTATTGACTGTCCACAGAAAATCAGAAAGACAGACTTGGGATGGAACCTTGTTTCCTGAAGTGGGCCAGGAGATTTATGGAAACATCCTTGTCAACTCTCCTTTGGGACCCTTCACTTTTGCTCCCTTGAACTTCCAGCAAGGTTAGGAAAGGGATTTCTCTACCATCCATGCCTCTGCAAGGCAGGTAATAGATCAGTGAGCCTGAGAAATGGTTATTTCCACCCTTGGTGGTAGCCTTATAGGAAGAGTTCCAGTGCTCTGAATTCGGACATCAGAAGAGAAGAGTTTCTCAGAGAAGATAGTCATTCCTATAATAGTCCTGCAGCTGAGGGACCAAAGTAATCCATGCCCTGTCTGGTTAGGAGATCTAGATCTTGACAATGAAAGCCTGAGGTCAATGTGAAATATCTGTGCCATTGTTATACAAAGGGCCTGTGCCTTTCAGGAGGAGTAAAATGAATATAGAGAGTTAATGGCTATGTTTCTGTATGGTCAGTGCTGCTGTAATGTCTTTTGAAAAAATGTGAATTTGTTCCAATGTGACTGATTTATTAGGGAATACTTCAAGCAGGATAGGAATTTCAAGTTTGCTTCTACTCAATTTCTTCTGTAAGAGACAGTGAGAGAACCCAAAAAATATCACCACTTCAGAGTCACTGAGAAGTTGCTACCTTTCTTGACAACCACCTCCACAACTGACCTTCAGGTCTTTGTTAAGGTAAATTGTGTCATCTTCCACGGTACAGTAGGAACTGAGAACAGAGAAAGGCTGGTTTATACCACCCCCACCTTTGATTCTACTCCCTTTTGCCATGCCCTTATGCCAACTTGTTTGTGCACCTAGGGCCCAGGTGGAGCCACAACCCAAAGCCAATGGCACAACCTCCATTTTTTGTACTATTTATATATTTCTTAATTATTTAATATGCATAATTATGTGTATCATTTATTAGGTTTCTTTTTTTGTGTGTCACTGATTTTTTGAGTTCTGTGCCTTTAACTTTATTATCCTCCTATTGGGCAATTTTGGGTGGCATGGTATTTCTTGGGAATGCTTATGTCACATTATAGCAGAACTAACTATATTTGCTGATGCATACTTGGGAGTCTTGCATCAGACATTATTGTGGTGAGGGAAATAAACAGCTTACCTATACCTAATACTCATATTGTATAATGAGGTACCCAGTTAATGTGCTTCCTCCCCTATTTTGGGGAGACCTTAGTTAAATCTTGTTTTTAGAGATTTCCCTGGACTTTTACTCTCTGGTAAGGATATATAGCCAGAGAGAAAAAAGTCTTACCTCTTTGCTGTCATTCCCTTCCTCTCCAGGGCTGGAGTCAGGTACCTGTGGTCCTTAAGTCTCTCTTTCAGTTAGGGGCCCTTGGGCCACAATAGACTATAACAATGTGGAGGAATTTAGGGACAGCTCTATTCCCTTCTCTGGGGCTGTGGCCCCTGCACACATGAGGCTCCCAGGGATTCAGGCTCATCCTAGCTGTACTCTTCCATGCTGGACTCACCTCCAGAAAGACATCTGACACATCATGTAGCAGCAGCACCAGGGCACCGACCTTCACATAGTTGGCAGAATAGGCGAAGAAGATCAAAGTGATTGTAATAAAATGGTGGATGACCTGCCCAATGAAGTCCTGGGAAGAAGAGGGCAGTTATGAGGCCAGGACCCCACAGACTTCCAAAGGCAGTAGCTGATTTCATGCATGCTCAGTGTTAGTCTCTGACCTAGAGTCAAAGAATACCATTCCTCCCACCACTTCTGCCTCACTATATGAGAATCCTTTGGGGGAAGGTCCAAGTCTACTCAGGGGAGGCAGAGATTGAGGTACAAGGTGGGAGAGAAGGTACCAGGAGGAGATGAAGGAGCAGGTTCAAGTGACTGATAACATATTGGAGAGAAAGCTGGAAATTGGGTTGGATATGGATCCAGTGGTAGGAACTCCAGAGAGAGAACTTTGGCCATTGAATTGAATAGAATAGCATTTGCCCCTGAGCTTCTGGCCCCTTTACCCAGTCTCCTACAGAGTACACCAAACTCAGGTCTGCCCTTACTGCTTCCATGGGACTAGGCCCTGTACTCAGCCTTAGGCATTGGTCTTCAGGGCCAGGATCAAGCATGACAGTTTATTTTTTTAATTGGGGCAGACACTAGAAGCCAGGCTCTTCTTCCCTCTACTCTTCTCCCTTCTGATTGCAAAGATAAGGTTTTTTCCCCAAACCTGGGCTCCCTCCAGACTCACCTTCCTCTTCACATCAAGGGTCAGAGTGATCAGCAAGGAGAGGTAGAAACTGAGCTCCAGAAGGTACCACCAGTATATGGCAGGCTGCAGAGGCTGAGGGTCAAAGCAGTCACTTGGTCATTGGTGTTGTCCATAGATAGATCCAACGTTCAACAGAGAAATGGCTGTTCAGGAGCTCCAGTACTGTGGACCAAACACTCTGCCTTTCCCCATTCTCCAGTCATGCTAGGCTATGGGCTGTGGTTAGGATACACCTGGGACCAGTCCTCCATAAATCAGGTCATGCCCGGCAATCAAGCAGTCAACAAGCATCTGTTAAACTTGCCTGTTATGTGCCAGGCACTGGGGATACAAAGATACAAATGAAATTGCTCCTGCATCAAGAAGCTTATGAGGGGAAACAGGACATACATGCATGCACATATATATATATATGCTCACACACATATATGAATGTATTTGTAAACACATATGTATATTCACAAGACACACATATATACATATACATTGAAAACTGAGAAAATCAAATTGATTCTATTCTGTAATCGATTTCATTTTGTATCTGTACTGACATTTTGTGTAATTACCTAAGTCATGTTTCATTTATCTCTGAATTAAGGAAGTTCAGCTTTCCTGTAAACCACTTATTGTTTCTGAATTAAGTTCAGAAGTTCAGCTTTCCTGCTAGTCACTGTTTTGTTCCTATGTCAAGGAAATCTGTCATCCTTGACCATTGCAGGTGGATGCTAGAGAGTCTGGTCTGTTATCTCTGCAACTCTGGCTGTTCTTCAAGAAAGATTGGTCTGTTATTGCTGTGACACTAACTAGCCATGTAGGGTGTGTGAAGTGTTCAAGGACTAGCACCTCTGATGTGAGGGCTTGCCAAGCCCTTTTGAGGGCTACTCGTCTACTTTTGGTGTCCACCTTTTCACCTAACTCTCAGCTGTGGCTACAATGGCCACATTCCAGTAAAACCACCTTGGCAGATAAGTTAGCTAGGTTGAGGGTAACCAAGAGGTCTCAAACCCACCAGTAAGTTAGGGGAATATCTGCCCCAAGCACATGAAGATGTTCCCTGGTGAAATGGGCAGATGAGAACATTTGTTCCAACAGCCATAGAGGTGGCTGAAGCAGGCTCTGTGGAGTGCTAAGAGATTGGTCAGGCATTGAAGATGTCAAGGTCATCTACTGCATCCCTGGCCATTGTAAGTCATTCTGACTTTTGTCTTGCCACTGGATAGCTCATGAAGAGAGAGTGAGGCTGATGACTTTGTGCAACTCTACCTCGCTTAAATTCAACTGACTCATCAAGTCATTACCCGTGATGTCACGGGTCCCCTTTCAAAATGAAGGATGACAACGATGACAACGACAACAACAACAACTAGCAATGCAGGTGAATGCCACCAATGAGCTTTCCACAGTGATAAAGTGGAAGAGAGGTTGTTTGCCCTACATTCCAAATTTCCAGCTAGTCATCTTGTCCTAGGCATCTATAATACTTCTGACGATGTAATCAGTTGTATTGTTTCCCCACCTATGATGCTGCCTTCTAGTTTGTGCTTATTTTGTCCTTAAAAATAATCTGTCATGGGGCAGCTAGTTGGCACAATGATAGCACACTAGCCCTGGAGTCAAGAGGACCTGAGTTCAAATGTGACTTCAGACACTTGACACTTACTGGCTGTGTGACCTTGGGCAAGTCACTTAACTCCAATTGCCTCACCAAAACCAAAACAAAACAAAATCTGTCAGCCCTCATCCAGGGACATATGGCTTATTGAGGAGCTAAAGACTCCTTTTATTGGCAACTGCTACCCTTATCAATAAATTGAACATGCTCAGAACTTTGTTGCCACCATTTACCTTAATTGAAATTGCTGCCATTGGTGAATCAAATAGGAGTCAAGAAGGTGATCATGAATGTCCAACTCCTCCTTGGTCTTGAATGCATCTGAGCTAAGGTAAGCCTCACCCTTGGTGGGGCAGGATATCCCTGAGAAATCCCTTTAAGTAAATAAGTAAGCCTCCATGTTGTTGGGGAAGTATCTGGCTAAGGTTATTTTCCACTCTGGTTGGATAACTGATAATTAGCCAACTTGATAACAACTAAGATCCAAAGAATCTTGGCAGTCTAGGAGGATGTCTAGATAAAACTAATAAGGTGAAATTTATGAGGGGCAAATATAAAATCTCAAAAGTAAAAACATAAGTTTAAAAAATCAGTTTCATAAGTACAATATGGGGTGCAGGTTGTTCAGTATTAATTGGTCTGAAAATATCTGGGGGTTTTGGTGGACTGCATGCTCAATATAAGTTAGCAATGTAATGAGGCAATCAAAAGAATTCATCTAATATTAGTCTAAATGAGAGGAATAATATTCAGCACTAAGGAAATCCTTTGGCACATAATTATGGAGCAACATATTGAAGGAGACAAAAGGTCATGAAATCAAAGGAATCTGTAGAGGGGTTGGTCTTGGTGTGAAGAGTCATCTCTTCATCAGAGACATATAGAAGAGAAAAGGAGGATGATGTCTAGGAATTTTGAAATGTGGAACAAGGAAAAAGAGGGAAGTTGTGGCAAATGGTCTCTTTTTTCAGTAAAAGTATGGGATAAGGTCCTCAGCTGAGTCAGGGTATGTGGAGGTGTTGGTATGGGCAGCTCAAGGAGAGAAGAAAGGAATTAGGACAACTTCTATATGCAATGCCCAAGGCAATCAATTGCCAGAAGGGAAGGAATTACATACAGTGTGATTTGTCCACAGTTGGATTTGAACACAATGCTTATGTTCTGGGTGCTGTATTTTAGTAAAGACATTGACAAACTTGAAGTCACTCCCTAATTAAGATTTATTAAAAGAATTTAATATGGCTAGCTTGCAGAAAAGAAAATGAAAGGAGGACATGGTTAATGTCTTCAAATACTTGAAGGGCCCTCATGTGGAAGATGATCCCAGAGAGAAGAACTAGACTGAATGGAAGGAAGCTACAGAGGGCCAGATTTAGGTTCAGTATAAGAGCAAACTTCCAACCAAAGACAGCTGTCCTAAAGTAGACTGGTCTGCCTTGGAAAGGAGGAAGTTTGCCTTCTCTGGAAAAGTTCAAGTAGAGAACTACATTCATTTCTGGCCATTATGGGGTGGGGCACAGTAGACCCTATATTGGACTTGACTGGAATGGAATCAGGAAGAGGAGTTCAAATCCAGCCTCAGACACTTACCAGCTGTGTGACCTTGGGCAAGTCATTGAACCTGTGTCCGCCTCAGGTTCCTCATTTGTAAAACGAGGAGAATCACAGCATCTCCCTCACATAATTGTTGTGAGGATCAAATGAGATATTATTTGTAAAGTGCTTTGCAAACCTCAAAGTGATTTATAAATGCTAGCTTTCATTGTCATTATCATCATTATTCCTAGGGTTTCTTTTAGTGGACAAATCTAGCACCAGCCTTTGTCCAGGGACTGCTCACCTGCTTAGGGTATCCATCCCACACTGTCTCTGGCTGGCCAAACCAGGTTTCCTGGAAGAAACAAGGGATACATGCTAGATACTGCTCTCAGGATCACTAGACCTCACAGGTAATGGCTCTTCTCCATAGCTTTGAGTCTTTCTCCGGGGAACTCCAGGGAACACTCAAGAGGAATGATTACATTGCCACTTTACATTATCTCCTATTATGTATCCTGGCCTCTACTTTCTTCCTCCTCCCTAGGTTCAGAACAAGTCAGAATCAAACTTATGAGGTATAACTCCTGGTTAGATGAGAGGCTTGACTTTTTGTTCCTTTCTACATCCCCCCAGGCCATTAGCATCCAGTCCCTCTATTAGCTCTGGAATAGCTAGGGCTGGGTTTAGAGAGGTCTGTCAAAGTGGGAAACTACTATATGAGTAGAGCATTTAACCAGTCTTCCCCTCCCCACTTCTCTAGTGTGCATGTGTGTGTGTGTGTGTGTGTGTGTGTGTATACATATATATGTATGTATTTGTGTGTATGTATGTATGTGTTTTACTGGTGTAATATGGCAGCCCAAAGAGCTAATTGGACACAGGGCATAGTTTCCAGGAATCGGAAGGAGTAGTATTGATGCATTCTTTTCTCATTAGACCTTATGTGGAGGATTGGGTACAGTTCTTTGCACCATAGTTTAAGAAGAACATGGATAAGACTGGGCAATGTTAAGAGGAGGACAACCAGTAAGAGGTAAGTGAATTTGCCTAGAATATGCATCTATGTGGGGACTTACATGTGATAAGCCTCAGAAGACAGATGAAAGCCAAACTGTGAAGGGCTTAACAGGTCAAAGAGAACAGTTTGAATTTTATCTTAGAGGCAATAGGGAATCATTCAAGTTTCTTGACCAGGGAAGTGACATGGTCAGACAGGAATTTTAGGAATGTCTGTGTGGAGGATGGATGATTAGTAGGGAGACAGTGGAGGCTATAGAACCAATTGGGAGGTTATTGCATTAGTGGGGAGCAGGGGTGATGAGGGCCAGAATTAGGGAGGCTGTGATGGGAGAGATGATTCCAGGACATCTTGCAGAAATAGAATCAGCAACACTTGGCAACTGATTGGATGGGAAATGGATTTAAATTCATGTCATAAGAGGATTTACTAGAGAAACTGGACATGTTTAGCTTGGAGAAGACTTAAGGGGAGCATGATGACTGTCTTCAAGTCAGTTGTCAGGAAGAGGAGGAGAGATTGGCCTTGTTTTGTTCTTATGGGGAAATTCCTTTCCTGCATGGATTAGACAAGATGGTTGCTGAGGTCCCTTCCAATTCTCAGTTCCTGTGATTCTGTGATCCACTCTTTCCTCCTGTGTTTCCCCACCAAGCCTGGCCTTGCTCCCTCCTTATTTCTGTGATTGAGTGGCACTATTTGTGTTTCAATTCATATCTGACTCAGAGTTTCTAATCCACCCTGTTTATTGGTCAGACTGGCCAATTTAGCTACATCACCCCTAGAGAGTCTGTGACCCTGACTCCCCCATCCCCAACACCACAGGGTTTGAAAAATGGGATGGTAAAAGAAGAAGGAGGACAATCCAAGGTTAACAGGAGGAAAAGGGGTTGGGAGCAATTAGGGATAGGGTAATGATGAAATAGATGAGAAGAGAAGGAAACAGTGAGAGAGAAAGACAGTGGGGATAAAGTGTGTGTGGGGAACCTAAGAGGACTGAGGGCTGATTGAGAACAGAGGAGCAGAATCCAGAAAAGAAGAATCAAGGGAATGGGAGTGGAAAGGACTGGGGGCCAGAGAGACAACAAAAATGACATGAGATGGAGGGGGCAGAAAGATGAAGAGAATGAAACATGGAAAGGACAAAGAATCACAAAGGGTAAAGGGAGAGGGATGATGAGTATGGAGACATGAGAAGGGACACAAAGGATGGGCAAAGAGAGAAGGGACAGTGTGAACAGTGTGGGAACAGAACAAAGAGGACAAGTAGAAAGTTGAGAGGACAAAGAGATGGGAGTAATATGAAAGAGGATGAATGGGCTGAAAAAGGCAGAAAGACAAAGATAATGGGAATGGAAAGAATGAGGAGTCAAATGAGGAAGAATAGTCATGCGGTGGGGATGGGATAGGAAATACTTACATTGCAGAAGATGAGCAAACCTCCAAAGAAAGAACAGGAGTAAAATAAAAATCTTGAACTGAAAATACAGAACAGTGAGAGAGATGAATGGATAAGGTCATATTGTTGGGGGTGAGAGGGAGTGGGTAGGGAGATGACCAACTTGTGGGGCACCTGCTTTCCAAGTCAGGCCTTGTCCCTTGGTCCACTGACCCAAGTCTAAATATCTTGGAGCGAGACTTCCATCAGGTCCCCCCAACTCACCAGCATTGAGAAAATTTGTTGCTCAGTAATGGTCGCTCTTGGTTTCTCCTGTGTCGAAACCAGCGCTCTGTTTGCCTTAAAGAGAGGCCACACTGGCTGGCCAGGTGACTCAGCTCATACTGCGACAATAGGAGAAGATTAGGGTTAGGCTGGACAAAGGGAGGACCTTAGCTTCAGGGGGACCTTAGCTCTCCCCTAAGCTCGTACACTCTCCCTAATCAGGCAATGCCTACTCAGCCCCGCAGGGACCTAGAGGCTTCTGAGACCATGGCATGGGACAGTCCAAAGGGCTTGAGCCTGGTCTCAAGGGGCAAGTTGCAAAGAGTTGCCTTCTCCCCTTAAGCCCTAGCCCCAGAGTTGGGGGGCATGTCCCCCAATCAAAGAATTCCCCAACCCAAACCCTGGTCCCTGCCATAGCCTTGTTGCCCTTTGGGGAAGAGTAGTTACACATTGCAGGGGGGGCATCTCTGCAACCAACTTGTCAGGCACTATGGAAAGATGAAAACTAAACATTCCCTCCCTCCACTGAGTTTACCTTCTATTAGAAGGAGACAACATATATACAGGTAAAATATTCATATACAATATAAAATAGAAGTAAAAAATCATGAAGTAATTTCAAGAGAATATTAATGATTTTTGGGAAAATTGGGAAAAGTTTTTTGAGGGAGCTGGAAGCCTCGAAGGGAGCTGGGGTTTCCAAAATGAAGAAGTGAGAGCATTTCTGGAGAAGAAGAGCATTCCAGGGGGACAGCTCACACAATGGCATGGGGGTGGGGGATGGAATATCAAATAAAAATAACAACAAATAGATGAATTTGGGTAGAACAGTGTGTGTGTGTAGGTAATGATATGCAATAAATCTTGAAAGGTAGATTGGAGTCCAATTGCAAAGGGCTTTACATGTCAAAGAGAACCATTTGAATTTTATCTTAGGGTCAATAGAGTCACTCAGGGAGGCATACTTGGCATAGCCAGACATGAGCTTTAGGAATGCCTGATTGGTGGCAGTGTGGAGCATGGATTGTAGAGGGGAGGAAGGCAATGGAACAAATTAGGGGGCCATTGCAATAGTGGGGATGGGGGGCAGAGGTGGTGAAGGCCTGGAGGAGTAGAGAGAACAGGATGGTTTCAGGAGATGTTATAGAAACATAATCAACAAGAATTGGTGACTGACTGATTGAATATGGAGATGAGATATTGGGGATGACTCTTATGGAGAAAACTCATGTGTACAGAACATAGAATGTGGAAGCTGGAAATGATATTAGAGATCATGCTTTCATTTTATAGATGAGAAAACTAAGGCTCCAAAAGAAAGTCAAGTGACTTGACTAAGGTCACAAGGCAAATAAGGGGCAGAAGTGGGATTAGAATCCAGGTCTTGTGAGCTCTTAATCCCCTCTGAGGTTAGAGGTTGGTAGAACTTGATGCTCAGAGTAAGTATCACCCCCTCTAGAGGAAACAGTAACAAAAAGAGTGGGTGTCTGAGTGCGGCCTGGGCACATAGTACCTCCCATCTCCTCTACTTCTTATTGAAGGACCACTGAATAGCAGGGACTGTCCTGTCAACGGGAATGGAGGCTTAAACCTTCCAGAATCCTTGATAGCATCCAAACCTGGAGCCTGCTCACCTTTTCAGGATTTTTTCTCTGTTTCCGGAAAAATGACTCCAGGATGGGGTTGGGAGCAGCGCTGATTCTGATGGGATCACGTATACCCAGGGCTCTGCTCAAAGGTAGCCCTATGGCCCTGTGAGAAGAGATAAGAGGAGTTGAGTACATAGTAACTCTCCGGTTTATGGCTCTTTGGAAGCTCTCTGTCAAATCTTGCCCATCAACTGACCTACCATAGCTGGATTGTCATAGCTTGAGGGAGCACTGTCTTCCAATTTAGCTGGAACTGAATACATGAGGCAGAGAAATGTTAAGGCATCACCCTATTTCTTATGGCCCAATTATATCCTATCATATTTCTGTGACAGATTCACTGCATGGAGACGTGCATCTGGATCTGAAAGGTCCAGGAATGGAGCTAAGAAAGAAGCAGAGACAAGCATATGCCTTTGGGCATAGCTTGCCTCTGTATTTTTTTCAACTCACTCATTTACATGGGGATAATTGGAGAAATTCAGGATCTAAAAGAGAGGTCCCCTGATGCCCAGAGGTATTCAATAATCATTAGGCAAGTAAATATCCTGATTTATACCCAAGCCTTCAAATAGATGAAAATTGTTGTCAACAGAATTCTCACTCCAAGTAGCATGAGGTTTCTGATGTAAGAGACTGACTCAGGTACCATAAGTTGTTTAAGGAGAAGACCTGGTCTAAGCATGGTCAAGGGCATAAAGAGTATATTTTTTGTTCTAAAGAACTTGGCACTTAGGGCTGAAAATTTCCTGCTGGGGAAGCAAAAGCTTCAGTAGAGAATAAAGCAGCAGATAAGTTGCCCTTCCACACAAATAACCTACATATGTAACCTCCCATGTATCTTCCATATATGTGTCCATTCTTTCCACTGACACGGTATATTTAGGGGAAACTAGGCCCCAGATATGTGGGGTTACTTTTCTCACCCTGACATTTTATTACATGCTTTTGATTTGAAGTATTTATGCATTCTGGCTGACTATTAAAGGTGAACACATCAGTGGGGACTCACAAACTATATAGAGACATGGACCTAGAGAGTTCCTTGAACCTGTGGCAGCCATCCACTGGAGGACCTGCCAACCCTCAGAGCTGAGGGGTTTTATACAGGCATTAAATATTCAAATACCATAATCTCACAAAATTTGGGAGGAAAACACTTTTTAAACCTACTTTGAATCATGTGATATGGTGAAAAGAACAATGGGTTTAGAGCTAGAGCATGTGGTTGGAATCTCTGTCCTATTATCCATTCTGCAATGCTGGGTAAAACACCTTATCTCTCTGGGCCTCAGTTTTCTGTTCTGTAAAACAAGATGGCTGGAATAAAAGGAAAGTATATTGGTGATCCAAGGGAGATCTCACTTAAATGAATGAATGAAATAAGTGTAAGCAAAACTAAGCTTAAGGACACATCACTGACTTACAAAAAGGGCATAAAAATTAATGGTACAGAAATAAATGTAAGAAAATGCAAACCTAACAATTATAACCTGAACTATGAAAAAAAAATCTTTCAATCGAAAAGTACTATATACAAGATATATAGAGAACTAACACAGATAAAGGAAACTGAAATAGTTTTCCAATAGATTAGTCATCAAAAGATATGACAGACTGTTCTCAAAAGATTTATAAACTGTCGATAGCAAATAGAATATTTTCTCTTTGTCACTAATGATAAGAGAAATGCAGAGTAAAATAATTCAGGTGTCTCACTTTATACCCATCAAATGACAAAATGACAAAAGATGGAAATCGTCATTACTGGAGGCGGGGCTGTGGGAAGACAGGCATAATAATATAATGCTGGTGGAACTCTGGATTGGTCTGACTGTTCCAGGAAGAAATTTAGATTAATGCTATAAAAGTCACTAAACTGTTGACACCATTTGACTCAGACATCTCATTGCTAGGCATTTATAGTGCCCTAAGCATATCAATGACATAAAAAAGGTCTCACATATAATAATCTTAATAATAGCAATTTTTTGGTAACAAACAAAACAAAAAAAAACTGGAAACACAGGAGGTTCCCATTGACTAGGGAATAGCCAAATAAACTGTGGTACATGGATTTAATGGAATATTATTTGCTAAACAAAATGATGAACATGAGGAATTTAGAGAAACTGGAAAAAACTTGACTGAACTGATGCAGAGTAAAGAAAAACTCCTAAGAACAGCATGCACATTGACTACAATAATGTAACTGGACCTGAACGCTAGGTAATTCTATGACGAACCTTGCCTCTTTTCTCCCTTGAGGAAATGAAGAAATTGACTGGTTCCTGTCTTCCTTATAGATGTGGGGGCCTATGGATGTAGAATGTTGCATACACTGTTATATGTGGTTGCTGCATTAGTTGGGCTTGATTAGCTTTTTTCCCTCCTTGTTACAAAGGAAGGTGTACACTGAATGAGTTGGGAAGAGGGGAAGGGTATAGCCTGAAAGAACTGTAAAAATAAAAGGGATCAACACAATCTTAACATTGTTTGTACAAAAGGGAGTAAAGAGACCCTCCACAGCTGACTCACCTCTCAGTGCCATATCTAATGACTATTAAGACAAATGTCAGGGGAATGGCTGCCAGCAGGTCTTTGGGATGGGGGTATGTGATGCCATCGGAATCTTCCAAGTCAGCCCAAGTGTATCCGGAGGGGAGCCAGTACTCAGTGTTCCAAAATGACTCGTACAGGGTTTCCAGCATCCTGGGGTTAAGGCATCAAATGTCTCCAGAGGGACTGGAAGGGAAAAGCATGTGTTGATTATTCAAAAAACTGTCCAACAGAGTCAGTGCACCCAGATCATCAATTTTAGAAACAGAGAATGTCATAACTGTAAGAGACCTTAAGGAAGTCTAACCTTTTCATCTTACAGATGGAGAACGTGAGGCCCTGAAGTAGGAGGAGACTTACCCAAGGTCACGTGGTGAGTCAATGGCAGAGCTGAGCCTAGAACTCAGGTTTTCTGATTCCCTGTCCAGGGCTACTTCTAGTGCATTTGCCACCCAAAAGACTTGTGAGTTGGGGGGTTAGGGGGTGGGTGAGAACCTATTGGCCCAGTAGTTCTTATCTAATATGCTTGGCTGCTGCCTGAATCTTCCTTGGCATAAGAGACCCAGGTGTCCCAGTCTGTCTAGCACCTGCTTTAAACAGCTTAACTCAGGGCAAAAGTGCTTCTGAGGTGACCATGGATTGTCAAGGTGGCAGAGGTTAGGAAAGGTATCTTCCCAAGGAAGGAAAACAGATCCTAGAACCAAAGAACTGGCAGGGTCCATAAAACTCAGAATGCTAGAGGTGGAAGGCTCTTAGTGAATGTCAGCGCTAAGAGGGTTCTTTAGAACAAAAAAGAGAATGACAGAACTAGGCAACCATTGATTTCAAGCAAGAAGAGTCATCTCCTATCACTGAAAATATTCAGGGAGAAAAGATGATGACCCCTGTTGGTGACAATGTAGGAGAGGATTCTTGCTTTAGGTGAGAGTTGTATTAGACCCTGTCCCAGGGCCTCTCCAGCTCTGTCACTCTGAGCTTCCTCTAGAGCTTCACTTGGCCCCTTCCCTTATGCCTCATCTTTGCCAAAGACTCCTCTACAGGCTGCTACTGAGGAGTGCTTGGGACATAGGCTCTGTGACCTCAGCTCCCTGAGTTCAGGAAGACCTCAAAGGTACCTCCTTTCCCTGAATGTCTTTCTGTCCTCAAATGGCAGTGGTTGGTGAGATCAAGGAAGGCTTTTGTGGCTGCCCACTGAGAGGACAGGCCATCATCCATTTCCAGAGAAAGACCTTGACTCTCCTTACCCAAGGATGTAACATGTCCCTTGTCTACCCTGTGCCAGAAGCATCACCCAAAATAGAATGTAAATTCTTTGTGGGGTCAGAGCTGGGGTATTTTTCCCTGTTTTGTCCATATGTCACTAATTCCTAGGATAGTAGCTGGTAACTCATTCTCACTTACTGAGAATCTTAGACCTGAAATGATTGGATATGAGGGATGAGGAAGACTGAGGAATTGATGATAATGCTAAGGTTTCAAAACTGGGTGACTTGAGGGCAGGGGAATGGTTTTGCTGTTTTGGTTTCCCTGGTGCTTAGCCCTGGTCCATAATTAAGAGTTTAATAAATGCTTGTTGATTTGACTTGTTAAAGGAAAGGATGTCTGTGCCCTTTATTGGGCTTTGATCTCTTTGATAAATTCTGAAATCTATTCTCATCATATCCTCTGTCTCCCCCGCCCTCACCCCCAGTTTTTTGGCCTTTCTTTGTTTCCCCAGAACTTAGCATGGCCTAGCACAAAGCTTTTAATATATGCTTGTTCAGTGACTGACTATGCAGAACACGTGCCAGGTATTTCCATCTTTACTCTCTTCACGTCTCATGAACTCAAGGATGAAACTACTTGTTTACCAGAGAAATCTCCAGCTTCACTTCCCCTGTCTGAGTTAAAGTTGTCCTCAAGCCTGGCCAGGCATATGTGTCACCTTCCTTACTTTGAGGGGAAGGAGGCTTCCCCAAGATGGTGCCAGTCACGCAGGTTTGGTGAGGAAGGCATCCAGCAGCCACATCAATCAGTACAATGTTGGCTGCCTAGAGCATCAAGCAGGGGCATCAGACAGGGCATTCTTCTAATTCTCCTGGGCTTTGGACAAATGGGAAATAGATACTAGGCACAGCATTGGCAACCTAAATAGGAATGGGTGTGTGAGCAGTGATGAGCTCATTCCAGTAGATGAGCTATATTCCATTAGTACTTGGTAGCTGTGTGGGCAGTCAGGGTACAAACCCCTCCTGTCTGGTCCCTTTTAATACACAGGCCCCATCTATGCCCCTGATATTCATTCCTCTAGGTCCTAGGGTATACAGATGTGAAGAGAGTGATAAACCATTTTACCTTCTCCGGACAGAGGTAATTTTCAGAGGTCTGGCTTGCAATGAATGGAAAGAAGCCAGACTACACCACCTTTTCCTAACCTAGAAGCCTTTGTGGGCTAGTGCTGATGTCAGGTGACCCAGCTCCAGCCCCCAGAGGCTTCCAAGAAACCTCCACTTGCAGCTGATTTTCCCCCGTCCCTTCCTATAGAGATATCCCATGAGCTCCCTGAGGAGCTGGGAAAGGAAGGGTTGGATGACTAAACAGGAAAACATGGGGGAAGGGAGCCTAGTAAAGCCCCAATTAGAACCCACTCACCAGCCACCAACCATCCACAGACTGATAGAAGGTCAGAGCTGGGAGGACCCTTAGAATCCAGAATGTCAGAGCTGGGACAGCCCTTAGAACACAGACTATAAAAGCTAGGAGGGCCCTTAGAACAGAGAATGTCAGAGCTGAGAGAGCCCTTAGAACCCAGAATGTCAGAGCTGAAGACCTTTATTAGATTAGTCCAAATTTTTTGTTTTGTAGATGGGAAGATTGAGTCCTGGAGAGGGGAAGGTTGCCTGGGAGGAATTTGTCTTCACTAGCTGGTGCCTTACTCTGACCACTGCCACTCCTCTTATGGTTCAACAAGCTAATGATGTATGAAATTCTACATCCAGAAGTGGTAGCAAATGACAGATCAAGCTTGTTATTATCATTACTTATTGTTATTTTTTATTCTTATTCAATAAGAAATTGCTACTGTGAAATCTACTGAAACTGCACATGCAGCTCTCACTATGGGAGGCAATTAGGCAGAAGAAACTTTTGCATTAAGTATCATTTCTTATAATCCATTTTGCTTGTATGTCAAAAGCTAATAGTTTCCTTTAAACCATGGGGCTTGGAGCTTCATAAATTCACATGTCGAAAGGGTAACACATTTTTCTTTTCTTTTCTCCTACTCATTTCAAAAGTTTTCCCTGCTCTACACACTCCCTCCACCCTCCCACCTTCAACTAAGGTAACAATAGGCCCAAAAGAATGGGTCTTTCATCTGGAAGCATCTCAGGGAGCCAGCCAAGAGCAGCATTTGCACTCCCTGCTCTCAATATCTGTTTAAGATCTGAGGGCTACAACTTATTTCTGCGAAGACTCCTTCAGTAAATCTTACTGGTACATGAACAAGAATTCTTGTCTAATTTCCTCTATAAGTGTCAATCCATCATTTTCTTGAAGGCGAACCCATGATCTCCCAAGGTAGCCCATTCCACTTTGGCTCAAACTGTTGAAATAGATTTTCTAAAATCAAGTTAGGAATAGAGAGACAAGAATGGAAAAAGCATGGGAGGAACGCCTGGTTTGATTTTGGAGTAAAGATCTCATAGAACCAAAAGATATAAGGGAGTGCCAGATTGTGGACACCTGACAACAAAGGCTGAGGGAGCCCAGAGGAGAGCAGAGCAGTCATGGGAGTCACACAGGTAGGTTACCCTATACCCTGACTAACTTTATTACTATCCAATTCCCCTTCCAATTCTACTTTTGACTTTCTGGATTTTGCCACCATGCCTCAGTCTTACCCTGGAATTTCTCCCAGTTTTTGAGACCTCCTTACCCTGGCATATCCATGCCACCTGTGGCCTTCTCAACCTGGACCATCCCTCTGCCATTTTAGACTTCTTTTCCCCCAGTAATGAGCTCTTCCTGGAGCCTCTGTTTTGAGAAGGGGCCCAGGACAAGCTTCTTTCATCTTCTTCTTGGCTATTCTGATATTCTATACTTAGGACACCATGCACTGCTACCTTTTGAGGTCCCTTTTGTGTGCTGTAAACCCATTAGTATGTAAACTCCTTTAGGACTGAAAGGAAGAGAAGGGAACAAGCATTTTTTTTTTCAGCCAAAGACAAGGTTTATTAGAATACTGCTTGGGAGAATCCGCCATATTGGTCAGACTCTTAAGGAATCTATGCATTTGTATCGCTACTGCAAGCAGACTAGATGTTAAGAATCTGAGCCTGGGGAACAAGAATTTTTAAGCTTTATTATGTGCCAGGCACTGTGTTAAGCACATGACAAATATTTTCTCATTTAATCCTCACAACAATCTTGGCAGACAGGTGCTGTTATTATCCCCACTTTACAATTGAGGAAACTGAGGTAAAAAAGATGATTTGCCCTGGCTTACATATCTAGTAAATATCCAAGGCATAATTTGAACTCTGGTCTTCCTGACTCAAGGCCTAGGCCTCTATCCATTCATTGCACCACTTAGCTGCAGGGACTATTTTTTGGCCTTCTTTTGTGTTCCCAGGAATTAGCACAGTATAAGGGTAAGCACATAATATTTCATAAATGCTTCTTGCCTTGCCTGTTTTGCAGGTGAAGAAAATAAGGCTTAAGAAAAGGCAGTGACTTGCATAAGATCACACAGCCCACTAATGCTCCAGCAGGAGTTAGGCCCAGTCTTGACTCCAAGGCCAGGATCAGCTGGAAACCACATTGTCCTGCCATCAAGGCTTCCTAACTTTGCTTCCAATCCTTCAAGACTACTTCCCACATACCTCCAGACTCAGTCCTCCCCAAAGTACACAGAGAACCTAATGGGAAGTGAAAAGACCTAGGTGAAATTGTACACTTTGCTACTTCTTAGTCCTTAGCCCTTGAGCAGATCACTTCCACTCTTTGAGACCCAATTTCCTACTCAGTCAAAGGATTGGATAATAACTAAGGTCCCTGTCAGCTTTCAATTCTGTGACCTATGATTCATGTTCTACTCATACACTACTCATACAATGGGAAGTCAATGGGAAAGTCTCAGAGGGAAAGAATTACCCTGATTGCCTCCGAGTGGAAGCAAAAGTTGGAATTTGAGCTGAGCCTGGAGGGAAGACAGTGGGCTGAGATGAGCAGGCAGAGCATTCCAGGCTCATTTCCAGTCCACCATTGTTTTCAAGTCAGATTCTCATCAGGGGCCAGGGGTGGGGGTGGGGTGGGAGGGGATGAGGCTCCACCCCTTGATGGGTGGGATCCCAATGGGTCTCAGCTATTCAACACTTCATTTCCATTAATCTCACTGAACAGCAACTCTCCCTCTCTGGAGACCTGAGTACCTGGGAGTAGCCCCAAGCTGAATAGCCCCAAGCCTCCTGGAGGACTTTCTCCAGTATTTCTTTCTGGCTATCTTCCAGGAGACGGAGGTGTTATTTTTCACCTTGGAGCCAAGTGGAATCAACAAACGTCTTGGAATTTTCTAGTGGAGGGTGAGCTTACCCAGACTGAATTAGACCAGTGAACGGGGAAGTGAGCTCTCAGCTGTCCTCACTGAATTCAAAATGACTCCACCTGGGCCCTCAGTGCACAAACAAGTTGGCGTGAGGCCACGGTAGAACGAAGTAGAATCAAAGGTGGGGGTGTATAGACCAGCCTTTCTCTGCTCTCAGTTCCTACTGTACTGTGGAAGATACACAATGACAATTTACCTTGACAAAGACCTGAAGGTCAGTTGTGGAGGTGGTTGTCAAGAAAGATTTCAGCTTCTCAGTGACTGTGAAGTGGTGACATTTTTTGGGTTCTCTCACTGTTTCTTACAGAAGAAATTGAATAGAAGAAAACTTGAAATTTCTGTTCTGCTCAAAGTATTCCCTAATATATCAATCATGTTGGAACAAATTCACATTTTCAAAAGACACATTATAGCTGGAGTAGAGGTGTGAAACATAAAGGAGACAGCGTGACAAAGGGATTAAATGTGTAACCTGAGAGTAACAGAACTTTTGAGGAACTGGGTGTAACCCGAGCGACAGAGATGTGTGACACAAGTATGTATGTATATATATATATGTGTGTGTGTGTGTGTGTTTGACATGGGTATGTTTCTGTGATATAGATGCATGGCACTTGGGATGTATGTGTCTGTGTGTATAAAATAGGGGCATCATAGGGATGTGAGTGACACAGAGGAGGAGGCTTGTGTCATGGGGAGCTGGGGTCATTTGGGAACTACAAGGGGAGGATAAAGAGAAGAGGACAAAGTAGGAAGGGTGTGTATGTATGTGTAGAACCACGAAGCCTCCCTTGAAGTTTGGAAGATGCATGTGGTAGATAAGTTAATCAGCAAGCATTTTTTTTTTTAGGCAATTGGGGTTAAGTGACTTGCCCAGGGTCACACAGCTAGTAAGTGTCAAGTGTTTGGTCTAAGGTCAGATTTGAACTCAGGTCCTCCTGACTTCAGGGCCGGTGCTCTATCCACTGCCCACCTAGCTGCCCCAACCTTTTTTTTTTTAAAGACCAACTGTGTGTCAGTCACTGTGAAAAGTACTCAAGATGCAAAGGCGAAAGTGAAATACTTCATACCTTTTGCTGCTGTTGTTCAGTTGATTAGTGGTGTCTGACTCTTCAAGACCCTCCCTTGACTATAGCACAGTAGGTCCTTCTATCCTCCACTATCTCTGGAAGTCTAAATTCATGTTCATTGTTTCCATGACGCTATCCACCCATCTCATCCTCCGCTGCCCTTCTCCTTTTGCCTTCAATCTTTTCCAACATCCAGGACTTTTCCAATGAGTCCTGTCTTCCCATTATGTGGCCAAAGTATTTAAGCTTCAGTTTCAGTATTTGACCTTCCAGTGAATGGCCTGAATTAATTTCTTTAAGTATTGACTGATTTGATCTTCTTCCTATCCAAGGGACTCTCAAAAGTCTTCTCCAGCACCACCAATGGAGAGCATTGTATCGGTGTAGACATTACATGTACATATGTGTATATGTACATGTATATGTCAATAGATACAAGATAATGGTGTGGGGGCAGGAGAGGCACTGGCACCGCGATGGATGCAGGAGGAGCAGGAAATATCTCAGGCAGGAATTAGTGCTTGATAGGATCCTTAAGGGAGTTTGGTGAGTTGTTTCCTACAATTCTTTATAATTCCTCTTTGGAGGTTTTGTTTTGTTTTGTTTTGTTTTTTGGGCAGAGATGCTGGAGTGGTTTGCCATTTGCTTCTCCAGCTCATTTTACAGATGAGGAAACCGAGGCAAACAGAGTGAAGTGACTTGTCCAGCATCACATAGCTAGTAAGAATCTGAGGCCAGATTTGAACTCCAGAAGGTTCCCGATTCCAAACCCAGTGCTCTCTATCCACTGGGCCACCTAGCTGCCTAAAACGTAACAGAGGATAAATGCTTTTTTGAGTAAAGAGGAGCTGAGGAGGAAGTGTGCTCCAGGCATGGCGGACAGAGAGTGTCATCGGGAGGACAGACTTATAGGAGCCCCAGAGCCCCCGTAGTTGAGCAGCAGGGGTAGGTGGGACCCTGTGCACGGGGTGTGGGTTCAGTGAGCACTAGCTGTGTAGATGTGAGTTGGGGTAACCCCTTAAGGATGGGGGATGGTCATCGGGGAGGACAGAAGATAGAGGGGATGGGGAGGAAGCGCTTACCTGCTGCTGAGCTGCAGTGAGGTGGAAAAGAGTTGGGACCGACTATCCCCTCCGCTCGGGCAGCTCAGGGGGCACGGCCTGTATCTGTGTCCCTGCTGCCCAGGCAAAAGGATGCTTCCTCACAGTAATGTGGCATTAGCCTCAAAGAAACTTCTCCTCTCTCACCCAAAGGCTGCTTCCAGGAGGAGAAGGGAGGACTCTGGCAGAAGGAGGTGTCCCAGTGCTTCAGGGAAAGGGAGGCGCAAGGACTGAGGATCCGAGATGAAGGTGGGGGCTCGAGCACACAACGGAGTCCTGGAAGCTGGGCGGACTACGAGGCTCAGGAGGAGAAGAGGACCCAGATGAAAGTTAGGGGAAAGGAGGGACCTTAGGGAGGAGACGGTCTCTCGGGGGGCTGCAGGGTCCCTGGAGAGTGGACAGTGGAGGGTAGAGAAAAGCTCAGAGTGAGGTGGCGCCCGAGCCTGGGAATTGGAGTGGGCGGAACGAAGGGAGTTTGGGAATGAGAGAATCTTGGGCGGGTTCTGGAAGGTGGTTTTGGAGGGAGGAGGGTGTCGTTGGCCAGCGGCCAGAGGCTTGGGGTAGAAAGAGGTGTCAGCAGTAGGCGATGCCTAGGGCGGGGAGGAAAGTGAGGAGGCAGGTGGGGGAGTGGAAAAAGCAGCTAGTGGAGCCTGACAGGTTCCAAAGAGCACCAGAAGCCCTGAAACCTGTACCTGTCTCCTCTTTACATCTCTGGCCTGGCTCCAGGCGCTCCTCCAGCTCAATACTGGAAGAAAGGATAGACTGCACTTTCCAGTCACCGCCCCTGAGCCTCCAGGGACTTAGCCAATCTCCAACCCAGCATGTATTCCTCCGTGCAAGCTCACCTCCACCCATCCCCACAGGATTACCACCCTGTCTCACATTGGGGCACTCAGCCCAACTCAAGAAATAGGAGTATATTCTCCCTCCAGACACTTCTGGTGCTTCCAGGCTCATGACACCACCCCCTCCAGATACTGAACACAAGGACACATAGCCCCTTCCTACCTTTCCTGCATTCGAACACTGTTCTTCCGACACCGAGACACCTTCCCTCTCCATATACTCTTATGATGCAGCTACACTGGCCTCCTTGCTGCTCTTAACACCTGACACACCATGTTTCGACTCCATGCCTTTTCTCTGGCTGTCCCTTATGCCTGCAGTGACTTCCTCACCTTACTTCAAGTCTTGACTTCCTTTAGGACTCAACTCCAATTTCCCACCTGCAAGAGGCCTTTTCCTCTCCTGCTTCTCTTCTTTTTTCCCTTCCCTCTCAGTTGCCTCCCACTTAACACTATAAATATCTTGTATATCCATTCTTAGAATGGGAGTTTCTTGAACTCAGGACTCCTGTTTTTATCTTTATATTCCCAAAGCTTAGAATAGTGTCTGGTAGTAAGTGCTTAACAAATGTTGACTCACTCCCACTGGTCCACAGTTCCCTCAAGACACAGATTCATGGCTTCCAAGGAACACTCCCACCCACTAACAGCTCCCCACAGGTTTAGGGGTTCCCCACCACAAGATATAAGTGCCCTCTCAGACCCAGCTGCCCTAACACCAAGTACCACTCTAGAGTATTCAGACACAGTCTCCCCTCCTCCCTCAATTTTCTCCCCTTCTTTCCAGTCCCAGCTAAATTCCCACCTTCTTCAGGAAGTTTTTCCCAGTCTCTCCCTATCGCTAGTGCCTTCCCTCTGTCGAATGTCTCCAATTTATTCCTGTATATAATTTATTTGAACATAATTGTTTGCATTTTGTCTTCCCTATTAAATTGTGAGCTCCTCAGAGCAAGAACTATTTTTTAACCTTTCTTTTTTTTTATCCCCAGTGATTAGCACAGTGCCTAGCACATAGTAGGCACTTAATAAATGTATGTTGACTAACTTCTCCCTGACCCCAAAAGCAGGATGATTATGGGAGCGTGTGCACAAATTGTTCTCAGGCACCAAGCTGGGGACAAGACCTTTCCTGGCTCAGACCTGGTCGGTAAGAATGATCAGTTGTTCACATGTATTTGGTAACTTACCGGCTCTGCCCATTGTGGACTCTATGAGTTGAACCTGTGAGAGGAGGAAGACTTCCCTTCCCTTCCTCTCTTCCTTTTACTTGAGAATTTGGCCTGTCCAGGACTGGAGCTATGGGTGGAAGTGGAGTGTTATTTGTTTTATCTTGTTTGTCTTCAGTTTCAGGTCTGGGAGGTGATCCTCGTGGGGCAGGGAGTTCAAACTATGGTTTGGACCTTGGAGCCAAGATCAGAGGCAGGGAGGTAAATCAAGCCAACATGGAATAGAGGCTTTGTGAAATCAGGGTGCCTGGGATGCAAGCCCCCCAAGGGGGGTACAGGGGATGGGGTGGGAGAAGGATTTGGGGGAACAGAATGGGGGGGAAGGATTATGCTTCTCACACTTGGGGGGAATAAGTTTGTATGTTTGCAATTATATATATTTTTTAACATTCAAGTTCAAACTTTATTTAAAACTCCATTTTAAGTTTAAAGTTACTAAACAAATCACAATGAAAAATAAAGAACAGTACAGCAAACCTTGAATCTAAGGAGACTCCAGTCTCTGACTTGTGACCTGCCAGAGCAGAAGTATTCTAAAAAGCAATGGGTCAAAAACTAATTTACATTTTTATATAGATGGAAACAAGTTTATTTAGTGCCTGAGGAAGATATGCATTGCTGGAGGGGCAGGGGAAGGCAGGTAACTGGAGATCTCTCACAGGCTTCAGGCTGCAACAGTCTCAGGTTCTTTCAGGGTCTGAGGGTTCCCAGTCAATTCTTCAGTGTGAGTCATGGCTAATATTTCCTCAGATAAACAGTTACTCTGTTCATTTGCTGACATTTTTCTTCATTAGGTCTGCATCAGAATAAATGGTCAGCTTAAGGGGAAAGTCTTCACTTTCACAAAATCCTTTTCATCAGACTTTTGGCTTAAATGACCAGATCTTGCTTCTTAACTGTTCACTGGCACAGCCATTCAGTGCCAGGACTTCTCACAACAGAGCTCCCAGGAGTTTTTGAAGCAGATTTTTCCTGGGTGCTTCTGGGCATGGAGACTTCCACCTCAGCAATGGGTAAAGAAGGCTTTGGCTCTTCTGGGGGCCCTCCAATAGCCATTGATGACCCCGGGGTGAGGGACATTTAGGGACTCTTCACTGTCTGTGACATTAAGGTAGCAAGGCATCACAGGAGAGTCTTCATGATCACCTTTATAACTGCTTTGACTATTAGGAGGGCTATCTTCTTTTTCCATGGGCTTCTCAAATGCATTTTGTAGAACCCGGTCTTGTTCATTTTCCTCTTTTGCTTCATTGTTAGTCTGAAGGGATGTCTGGACATCCACGGGACATTCTTCAAACTCTTCAGTCTCCTCATCCTCATTTTTGTCTTCTTCACTTCTGTAATTTGTTAGTTAATATCTTGAAGGAATATTTCTGTGTAAAAGCTAATCTGACTGTTATGGTTAATGAAACTTGGAGTCACTCACTACAGTCGGGGGGAAATACCACCATCAGTGGGAACTGGAACCATTTGCAAAAAGCCTAGACACCCTGCAAATCCTCTGTAAGGGTACCAGAGAACCCTGGGGCAGGAGTGAAAAAATAACTTACCTAGTCTTCAGGTGGCAGGGGACAGGGTGGTGGTGTCTGTTACACATATAAATCATCTTTGTGGTGCTGGGGATATTAGAGCTGGAAGGACTCTGAGAACACAAATCTCAAAGCTAGGAGGGCCCTTAGCACACAGAATGTCAGAACTGGGAGGGCTCTGAAGACACAGAATGTCAGAGTTGGGAGGGACCTGAAGTTGCTGAATGTCAGAGCTGGGAGGGACCTGAAGATGCTGAATGTCAGAGCTGGGAGGGACCTTAGGAAACAGACTGGCAGAGCTACAGCACCATAGTCACTATGAATGCATATGATCTCACCTACCCCTCCCATTTCTTACATAACAGAGATGAAAATTGAGTCCTTGGGAAAGGAAGGCTTCTAGACTGGGGCTCTTTTCTATTATTAAATTTAAATATTTTATTTTTTCCAATTACATGTAATAAAAATTTTTAACTTTCATTTTTTAAAATTTTAAGGTCCAAATTCTCTCTCTCCTCTTCCTTCTTCACCCTCCTTGAGAACGCAAGCAATTTGATGTAAATCCAAAAGACCAAAATCCACCCAACCCCCCAAACCAAGAAAAATAAGGTTTAAAGAGTGTGCTTCAAAATGGTTTCAAATTTTGTCAGTTCTTTCTCTGGTGGTGGATAACATTTTCATCATTAGTCCATTGGAATTGTTTTGGATCATTGTATTGCTCAGAGGAGCTAAGTCATTCATAGTTGATCATCATTAGAATATTTCTGTTACTATATACAAGTTTCTCCTGGTTCTGCTCATTTCACTTTGCATCAGTTCCTATAAATTTTTCCAGGTTGTTCTGAGAACATTCTACTCATCATTTCTCATAGCACAACTTGTTCAGCCATTCCCCAGTTGATGGGCATCCATCCCTCAATTTCCAATTCTTTACTACCACAAAAAGAGTTACTGTAAGTATTTTTGACATATAGGTCCTTTTTTTTCCCTGTTCTTTTTGGCATAGAGACCTAATAGTTTTATTTCTGGGTCGAAGGGTATGCATGGTTTTATAGCCCTTTGGGTATAGTTCCAAATTGTTCTCCAGAATGGTTGGATCAGCTCACAATTCTACCAACAGTGCATTAGTGTTCTAATTTTCCACATCCCCTCCAACATTCAAAGTTTCCCTTTTCTGTTATGTTAGCCAATTGGATAGGTATGAGGTGGTACTTCAGAGCTGTTTTAATTTGAATTCCTCTAATCAAAAGTAAGTTAGAGCATTTTTATATGCCAATGAATAGCTTTGATTTCTTCTTCTGAAAACTGCCTTTTCATATCCTTTGACCATTTATCAATTGGTGAATGACTCATATTTTTATAAATTTGACTTAGTTCTCTGTACATTTGAGAAATGGTGCCTTTAGCAGAGAAACTTGCTGAAAAATTCCCCCCCCCCCCCCAGTTTTCTGCATTCCCTCTAATCTTGGCTGCACTGGATTTGTTTGTGCAAAACCTTTTTAATTAAAGTAATCAAAATTATCCATTTTTACTTCCCATAATGTTCTCTATCTCTTGTTCTGTCATAAATTCTTCTTTTGTCCATAGAACTGACAGGAAAGATATTTCATGCTTCCCTAATTTGCTTATGATATCACCCTTTAAGTCTAAATCACGTATCGATGTTGCTTTTATCTTGGAATACTGTGTGAGATGTTGGTCTATACCTAGTTTCTGCCAAACTGCTTTCCAGTTTTCCCTAGTAATTTTTGTCAAATGGTGAATTTTTGTCCCTAAGGCTTGAATTTTTTCATTTATCAAACACCAGATTAGTGTGGTCATTTACTACTGTGTATTGTGTA